CCCCCCCCCCAAAAAAAAAATCACTTTTAGTTCAGAGCAGAATGCTGTCTCATCTACTATGATACAAATCCTTCATGGATCAGTGCATCTGGTATGAAACTTGAGCAAGGAAATATAACAGAATAACATTCCCTCCCACAACTCTAATTCTCATATGTAAACATGATTTGCTTTTATTGCTATTAACCTGTTCAATCTTTACTTGCCCCCTTCCTCTGCCACTCCTCTCCACCACTGATATCACCGTATACCACTGAATCTTTTTTATTTTTTAGTTGTACTTGAACACAATACCTTCATTTTATTTATTTACTTTTATATGGTGTTGAGGATTGAACCCAGTGCCTCCCAGGTGCTAGGCTATCCAAGAGCATGGGAGATCTTTCCATCTTCTAAAGTCTTCTTCAATTTCCTTCTTTAGTGTTCTGAGTTTTCATTGTAGAGGTCTTTCACCTCTTTTGTTAAGTTGATTCTCAAGTTTTTTTTTTTTTTTAAGGCTATTGTGAATAGGGTAGTTTTCCTAATTTCTCTTTCAGAGGATGCATCACTGAAGAATAGATATACATTTGATTTATGGGTATCGATTTTATATCCTGCTACTTTGTTGAATTCATGGAAGCAAACTAGATGTCCTTTAATAGATGAATGGATAAAGAAACTCAGCATTAAAAGAGAATAAAATTTTGGGGCATTTGCAGGTAAATGGGTGGAGATGGAGAACATCATCCTAAATGAAGTAAGCCAATCCCAAAAGCCCAAATGCCAAACATTCTCTCTGATAAGTGGATGGGTGGGGTTGGGGGGACATGGGAAAAAATGGAGGAACTTTGATGGGGCAAATGGGAAGGGAGGGCATGAGGGTAAGAAAGATGGTGGACATCATTACCCTAGGTACATGTATGACTGCACATATAGTGTGATGCTACATCATGTACAATCATAGAAATGTAAAGTTGTGCTATAATTGTGTACAATGAATCAAAATGCATTCTGATATAATATATACCTAATTAAAATAAATTTTAAAAAATTAGTGGTGGAAAGTTTAAGAATAGCATTTTTTTCATAATATCAAAGTATCTCCTTCAAGATATTTATATCAATACAAAAGAAACACCAGTAATTTTACTGCCTGGTAAATATCAGCTTAACCCTGTGATCAAGACTAATATCACCAAATAAGACACTGACCTCTGATATCATCTGTTGAGAACACAGTATTGCTTCTGTGATATTTTTGCCAACAATAAGTCTAATTACAAGAAAATACCAGAGAAACCAAATTGAGAAACATTTTGCAAAATGACTACAGATGTTCCTGAACTCAGGCTGGTAACATCTGGATAGCCCATCCATGATGGTTAATTTGGGGTGTTAACTTGACTGGATTAAGGAATGCCTGGATAACTTCAGGGTGTGTCTGTAAGAGTGTTCCCAGGGAAGACTGGCATGTGAGTCAGCAAATGAGTGGGATAGATCCTTAGTGTGGGTGGGGGATGGGGCTCAGATAGAACAGGAAAGGTCAAGAATGGGGAAACTCTGGTTCTTCCTTTAAAGAAGATTTTTCAGCCTTTGAACTAGAACTTGCCCCAGCAGTCCTCTGGTGGCTCTGAGCCTTTGGCCTTCAACTGGGGACTACACTATAACAATCTTGCTGGTTTTGAGCTTTTTGGGTTTTTTTTTGGACTGAGCCATGCTACTGACTTACCTGGTTATTCAGCTTGCAGACAGTCATTGTGGAAAATTTCACTCTGAATTTGTGACTCCATTTCCTATTAAATCAATATTCAAATATAAACATATTCTATTGATTCTGTTTCTCTGGTGAACTCTCATACATAAAAGTTGGAAGTATTTTAAGTTGAAAATGTGTGTAATTCATCTAACTTTCTGAATATCTTTCCTTAGCAACACAGTACTAGATAGAGTGTTGGTGGTCTGTCCCTCCCCCAATACCATGTGGCTGAATGGGAACTTCACCCACTGCTACATCCCAGGATTTCATTCTACCACATATCACCAGCTCAAGAAAAGATGAAAATCCAATATACAATTTTTTTTTCTGACTGTGGATCGTTTTCTCACCATCTTAAAGGTGAAAAATTACAAGTTGAGCCATTGTAAGCCAGAGACTGTAATAAAACTCATCAAAAGTATCAAGGTCATGAAAATCAAGGAAGGCTGAGGAACAATTATAGGTTGGCGGAGACTAAGGAAACACATCATTAAATGTCGTGTGGGATTCCAGATTGGGTCCTGAAACAGAAAAAGTGCATTAGGAGAAAAAGTGGCAAAATCTGAAGTTGTACAGTTCAGTTAATTGTATTTTAGCCATGTTAATGTGCTGGTTTTAATAATTGCACTGTTGTTATGCAAGTTGTTAATGATAGAGAAAGCTATGTGAAGGGTATAAATGAACTCACAATGGTTTTTTGTGACTTTTTTTGTAAGTGTAAACTTATTTCAAAATAAAATGTAAAAAAAAAAAAAAAAAAGAAAAGAATAAAGGGTAGGGGTGTGGTCTCTAGTGTAGAAAAAGGAGGAGCTAAATCTCTTCCACTGAACCAAGGGCTGGGTTAGTAGTGGAGGTAGGCTTACTGGCACAGTGGCAGGAAGTGGATGGAATTTTTCAAGGGCAGACCCTGCTTGTACTCTCAATGCTAATTCACAGGGCTTACCACTGAGAGGGGAAATCAAGAAATCTTTATTGACCAGACCTGAGTTTGAATCATGACTACATTATATCATGATTTCTAGTTGTGTGAATTTGACAAGTTATTTATTCTCTCTGAGCCTCAGTTTCTTCTGAAAATGGGAATAATTTAATCTCAGTTATTGAGACAGAGATTAATAAGTGTTCAAAGGAATCTGTTTCCTTCTCCTTCTGGACACACAGCTAGATAATGCTTTCCAACTTTCAATTAGGTTAAGCACATAACTGGCTGGCACTCCAGTGGCTCTGTTTGAAGAAAGAATAAAAGTATTAAGATGTTCCATTCCAACCTTTATTATATCACCAGTCCTCTCTTGTGTCATTCAAGATGATACATTGTCTGGCCATGGAGTTTGTTTAAAAACAAATGAAGCCCAGTGTGCTGATGATAATGATAATCCCAGTGACTCAGAAGGAGGAGTAACAGAGACAGGAGGATTGTTAAATTCAAGACCTACCTGGGCAATTTAGCGAGACCCTCAGCAACTTAGTGAGACCCTGCTTTTTATCATAAATGAATGAATGAATGAATGAATGAAAGAATGAATAAATAAATAAATAAATAAATAAATGGAATTGGGGATGTGGCCCAATTGTAGAGTCCCCCTGGGTTCAATCTCTAGTACTATAAAGCAAACAAACAAAAAAACCAAAACCAAAACAAAGAAACCCCTCATAAAAATTTCTAAGAGACAATTTTTCATAAAAGATACGATTTATTTTACAAAGAACTAACTGTTAATGACTAACCCTTCCCTAATTATGAGCCATGGAGAAAAGCCATGTATTTTTAATAACTTGTCATTGAATAGAACTGGAAGAAAACAATAGCTACAGAAAAATTTTGCTTTAATGTTTCTTCTCCTACCCTCTTGACTAATTTGAGGATTTGAGATTATGATAGGCAGTCTGGGGACAGTGGGAAGTGCTATTGTTAAAGAATGGAAGAATTGAACTTCAGCTAATAAAATCTTATTGGTTACTCAGAAAGTCTGGTAGAGTTGTTGTAACTTAGATTAAGCTGACATGGTTCAGATTCTGAAACTTAACTTTTTGGGCTCAATAACAGTTAAAGAAAAAAAAAGTTAAATGAATCCATGAATTCTCAAGGCATTCAGTCTCCTGTGAAAGTAATATATAGACTAGAATGCTAATTTATTAATTTATAATGAGAAATGTAACCAGACAGCAGATTGTGTATTTTATCAGTTGCTTGAGACACTCTTTCCTTGCAGAAATAGCTTCATGGAAAGCTTAGTTATAATCAGAAAATTTTCTGGTAGAGGAATCTGGAGAAAGAAGTGTTAGATGGATAATTATTTCTTCTTCCTTTTTTTTAGTACTGGGGATTAAACTCAGGGGCACTTTACCATTGAGCTACATCCCTAACCCTTTTTATTTTTTATTTTGAGACAGAGTTTTGCTAAGTTGTTTAGGGCCTTGCTAAATTACTGAGAGTGGCCTCCAGCTTGTGAGTCTCCTGCCTTAGCTTCCTGAGTTGGTGGGTCACAGGTAAGTACTACTGTGACCAGCTAGATGGGTAATCTTTTTGTTGTTGTTGTTGTTGTCAAAAGATCCTTTATTAAAATATTTTCCCATGTACTTCTTAACTAGCTGGGGACTCTACTGCACCACTACTGAGGTCATCTATGATGTCATGAGGGTGGTGGCCATCGACATTACAGCCCACAGACTGGGCAGTCCCCAGAATCTCCTTAAATAGGTCTAGAAAGTTCTCTAGCTAAAGATCGGTGATGCATCTGTTG